AAAGAAAGAAAGAAAGAAAGAAAGAAAGAAAGAAAGAAAGAAAGAAAGAAAGAAAGACGAGATCGAAGTGTCTTGGTTGACAAACTGCCTGGACTGGGAAATCGACCATAAGTTTCTGGGGTTGAGAAAGCCCTCAAGAAAGGATGGACCAGTTTGAGCAAGGATGTCCAAGATGCGTTGAAGGTTGTGGGTATAGATTACACCCCTGAGCCGGAACTACAGCCACTTGAAGAGATCCTGAAGGCTCACATCGAAGCTCTACCCAAAGAGGTCAAAGAGGCAGTGGAGACACTACTGACACCTGTGAAACAGGAGCCCAAAGATGTCACCACCCAGCTGAAGGTCACTGTTGGGGAACTTCGTCAGCTATCGAACAAAAAAGCTGGGCTTCAAAAGCGGGTTGACAACGCCAAGGACCAGTACAAGCTACTCCTGGATGAGCTGAGGGTAGTCCAAGAGCAGATTGACAAAGAACAGCAGCAGCTAACCGCTCAGTCGGAAGCCTATGCCAAGTTGTTGAAGGAGGAGACCACTGCAGCAGAAGTCAGTGAGACCCCAGTAGATGTAGATGTCAATGAACATGTGCTTAAGGCACTAGCGCAGGTTGGCGTTTTGTACACAGACTCCCAGAAGACAGAGCTTGAACGGCAACTGACAGAGAATATGCTCAAGCGCCGCAAGAAGGGAGATGGCCAGCTTTCGGGGTAACCCTGAACGAGGGCCTGTGCCGATCTCTGTGGAGGGAGAGAAAAGCAGGATGACGGAGCAGCGCTTTGACTTGGGGTCAGTGCTGGTTTCGGACCGTGTTGAAGAACTGCACAGCAAATGCAGTGGGGTAAATCCGGATGCAAGTGCATCCACAGCACCAGTTGGTGAAGCGGCAGCAATGGTTGGAGTGTCAGAAACGCTTCAAAGTGACGAAAATCGGTGCTGGCAAGGTGCAGGCATGGGTGGCAAATGAATGCAAGGCGGCCATGACCCAGAGGACGCTTTTGCTTTGCGCCTACTAGCTCGAGCAGCTGAAGGCCTTGGAAGGCCCTGCACGTTGTGGATTGCAAGGCGAATGAGCCTTGGTCCAGGGTGTACATTCGGCCATTTTTGCCTTGTCGGTGTGGCCGTTGGGACTAGGCAGGAGGAAAAGAACCGAACCCAAACAAAAAAATGAGAGAAAGAAAGAAAGAAAGAATGAATGAATGAACGAAAGAAAGAAAGAAAGAAACAAATACAGAAAGAAAGAAAGAAATAAAGAAAGAAAGAAACAAAGACAGAAAAGAAAAGAAAAGAACAGAACAGAACAGAAAAGAAAAGAAAAGAACAGAAAAGAAAAGAAAAGAAAAGAAAGAAAGAAATAAAGAAAGAAAAGAAAGAAAGAACGACGGCAGGGCGAGCGCACGTGCGCTCGTGTGCTATGGACTGCGTGAGAGAGAGAGAGGGAGAGAGAGAGAGAGAGAGAGAGAGAGAGAGAGAAAGACAGCAGCGCGAGCCCGTGCGCGCTCTGAAATACGCTCCAGAAGGGTGCGCTCACAGCGCGCTCTGCAGAGAGACAGAGAAAGAGAAACTTAAAGAGAAAGAGAGAGAGAGAGAGAGCGAGAGCGAGAGACCTGAGCTTTGTGGCTCTGTGTCCGGGTCTTGTCCTCCTCTTTCCGCCCGGCTTACTGGAGAGGAGTGTGGCCGAACAAATAGCGATTTCAACGCCGACAAAAATTCATTGATGAAGCAGTTTGCTCTTGGGGAGTAGGGCGTGCCAAGAAATCGATTTTTGACTAGTATTGGTCTAAACGAATCGTTTTGAAACTGTTTGGGGTCTATGCTTGTATAATTGTAGCTGGGGTCCATGCCGGCGCAATGGAGAGATGTGTATGGCCGTGTTCGCTTTAGAGCCTGGGCCAGGCGCTGGTGCGGGGGGTGCTATAAGATGTGTATGGCCGCGTGCCTGGGTGTTGGTGCCGCTGCAGGTGCCACAAATATCTTTTGCCACCTGGGGTTTACGCTGGCGTGATTTCTATTATTTCAGACCATCAGACAGCAGCGCAGCCGTCGCTGTGTGCTTTGTTTTGCTGACGTTCTCTCTTCTTGCTTCGTTTCGCAAATTTCTCTGTGGAGTTATGGGGTGGCCGTATTGTGGTGCCCTTCCTCCACTTTTGATTGGCCAGCTGTGGTGCTTGCTCTTCTTTTCTGTCTCCTTGTTGACCTCTCCTTCCATTTTCCTTTACAAGCTTACCTTCGGCGCAGGCCTGTGGTGCAAAGGCTTCCGTGGAGTGGAGTTCGGGTTTTGAAGTTTTAAGTATAATTCAGCCCTTAGCGGCCTTAGCGCCGCAACCTTTACCCGCGCGGTTGCGCGGTCAAAAGGCGTCACTTTGAGCATGAAAACATGAGTGGCCCCCAGCGCATTTGAGGGCACGAATTGTGCTCAACCGCTGTTTTTGGTTTCATGCTGGGACCATGTGCTCCGAGTTCAAAAGTCGTGGTTTTCAATTTCAAAAGTCCAAGATCAAAAGCTCCAACGAAAAAAATTGCAAGGGAAAAGTACCAATGAGTGCACATCTGCAGGCCAGAATAGAGTGGCCAAAGCAGCCGCAAATCCGGTGCAGGTACGCCGAGTTGATCAGACCTGGTATCCCATGATTGGCTAAGCGAGTGCGGTCCCACAACCACGCCGCATTCCAGAGAGGGTGAGGCAAAGCATCAGCGAAAAAACGCTAAATGCTAGGCCAAACGGTTCTTTGTGACTTCAAAGGTCTCACACACGCACACACACACAGACACACCACCAAGGAGAATGAACGGTTGTACGAATGAGTGGGTATCTATTTGGGGAGTTTTGAGTTTGCGGACATGGTTGTCGACGCCAGTCACTACATCAGCTTGATTGGGGCCTCGTTAATACCGAGGGTTGTGTCAGTGCCAAGGAAACGCGGAGGTCGCCCACGTTACTTTTCTGCCATGCAAATGCAGGGCGCGGAAACCCAAAGGCATCACGAGGTGGAGTTGGGAGTGTAGTAGAAACTTGAGCGGATACGAGGAGTAGGCTTTGCGAAGACGGGTTTCCTTGTAAAGCGGGGCTGCTTTGTGCCACAGCTTTTAAAAGCCGACCGCGGGTTGCAGGAACATAGGCTTGCGCATCCCTAATTTCGAGCAGCTGATGAAAAGGTTGCGGATGAACGTGGGCGACCTCAGCTCCAAAGTCTTAGAAATGGGGCCGGTGATGCAACGGGGTTGCCTGCTTGAACGAGGTTTTTGCGCTGGACTACAGGGGCTTTGGCTTCAGTGAAGGCGGAAGAGTTTTCGTCGCTCCACGAAGCATTCAGCGTGGCCACTGGGTGGCAGATGTGGCAGGCACTCCATCTGAAGAGGGCCTCATTGAGGCAACAACGGCAAAGCGCCCCTGACCCAAGCTGGTGGTCATTTTATGTCATTTTGCCTGTTTCAGGATGCCTTGAGCGCCTGGAGATGGCTGAAGAAGGTAGAAACCGCACAATACATAGCACGCACTTTGGTATTGGTACATAGCTGGAAGCTGCGTATTTCCAAGTCGTTTCGGTGAGTCATCCCAATGCCACTTGCCGTTGCCAGGAGGCGGAAGGTGGCCGTTTGAAACTTATTGCTGGTTATTTAGTGGTTTGAGTGTCCTTGCCTGCAGTCACTGCTTTTTTTGTTCTCCCCCATGGCCCATGGGTACAACTTGGAGACAATTTGGCCAGTGTTTTTAGACTCAACTTGTTTGCGAGGCATTGATGGTGACCAGCTCTTCGTCTTTGGCCGATCGCTGGGCGGCGCTGGTGGCTTAAGTTCGCTGACCACGAATGTTTGAGGGCAAGAGGGGCCTTGCGACGCAAAGGTCGGTCGGCAAAGCTTGTGTGGCAAAGTGTCAAGTTTTTTAAAATGGATTTGGAATGATGCGAGTTGGAGAAACCCTCCCAGGCAGTGGCCATTGCACTAGCTGCCGAACTGCAGCAGCTTGCGCAGGGGCCAGCACTGAGCAGATCGAGTCTGTAGCGACGAGCGTTTCTCTCAGTCAGCCAAATGCTGAGCCAATATCCTCAACTCTTACAGGCCATACCCGCGAGGTCTCATTCTAGAAAACACGTCTCGGCCTCAGTCTCCTTCTATTCTTTGCCCACGTGCTTGGCCCCTTCATTCATTCACTCGTTTTGGATGCACTCCCTGGCCTGGACGTTTGAATTTCCTGAGCATTTTTCCTTGATGATCCCATCCAACTGGAAAAGCTTTGGCAGTGGATTCGTAGTTTAACATGGAATAGAGATGCTACTGTAAGCTTCCTTATCTTTGCAACATCTCGTGGCTAGAGCTTTTTTGGAACTTTGGAAGATTCTGGCCTCGACTTCGGCTTGAGCGTTGGCAGTATGAACAAATACAGATCGGCGTATTGCGTTAGGAATGTTAAAGGCAATGAGTTGGCCAAGCCTGCCCCTAGCTAGCCAACCCTGTGTCCTCCTCTTGTCCTGCTGTTGTCCTCTGGCCGCTCTGGCCAACCCTGTGTCCTCCTCTTCTCTTCTTTGGTTCTGCTGTTGCCCTGGCCGCGCTGGCCAACCCTGTGTCCTCCTTTTGTCCTGCAAGCCTCAATGCTCAAGGTGGCCAGAAATGCCAGCCCCCCAGTAGCGGGGTTCGACCCGCCGCTCGCACTCGCCGACGTTCATGATAGCTGCTGGCTTGATCATCAAGCTGCTGCTCCTTGCCTGGTCTGGCCTTGAGCATCCCGGTCCCAAGTCCGGGCGTGGATCCTTGCAACTTGGCATGTGTTCGCAAAGTTTTTGGTCCACGAGAGGTGAGGGTTTCCTTCGGTCCACGACGAAGGAAGGAGGAGACCAGGTCGGTCACGTACCCCCAAGCTCCCTCCAAAATAATCGTGGGAAAGGGCACCCAGAAGGCCCCATCGGGGCAAAAGGGCACTGCTCAACCTGGAGCACGAAGAAGAGCTATAAAAGAGCGATGCATCGTTTGATGAGGGATGGTTGCACTTCGTACAAAGGGCGCTTGCTGATGGCACCTTCGATGCCACTGGGAATGCCTCTGCCACAGACTACCCCTCCGACCTCCTCTATGACCGGCGGCACCTGCAAGCCTTCGACATGGACGACCTTTCCCTTTCTGCAGAGGCCATGTGCTTCACTTCCGCGCTTTGGCGGTCCACGCTGCTCCTTCCTTTCGTGGAACGCCGGAGGACTCACCAGCGCCACTTGGCAAGAGCTCATGCAGTATCTCAGTCATCATGCTGTTGACATTGCATGCATTCAGGGCACCCGCTGGAACCACACCAAAGACTGGAGCACGTATGGGTATTGGGCCCTTTCTGCAGGAACGGAGGACCGTAGAGACCATGGTGGCTTGTTGACATTGATCCACCACAGACTGTGCGGACAGCAGGACTTGTCAAGTTCCTCGCCAATCCCTGGTCGGGTGCAACATGTCAAATGTCGGCTTGCCCAGACGACTCTTGAAATAGTCCATGTATATCAGTATACCACTGAAGTCACCTCCACCAGAGCTAAACCTTTGACAGTAGAGCTGAGGTCTGGTCCTCACTGGACACCATCCTCACACATCTTCCTATCAGGAATGTTCTTGTAGTTGCCGGAGACTTCAACACTGACCTTCATAGACAATCTCCCGAGCCGCAGGACGCTTGTGAACTTCGAGAGCTCTGCCGCAAGCACACGCTTGCCACGGTTCGTACCTACGACCATGCACACACCTTCGAAGGCCCAGGAGGCACCTCGTCGATTGATCATGTACTCATGAGGCGTTGTCAACAAGATGCCCAAGTCAAACATAGTCGAGTGTATCAGACCTTTCCCGTGGCAGGGTGGAGGGGCCTTCGCGACCACCTGCCGATCCTCAGCAGTCTGCCAGTAAGTTGGAAGGTCTGGCGCAAGCTCCCTCAACCCCGGACCAGACGGTGGACCTGGACTCAACGCCAGGAACTGCAGCAGCACTGTCGAGACCAAGATGAAGCCTGGCAGCTGTTCGTCCCACAGGCCCAGGCCAGGCTGCAGGTTGATCACCCCACTTGGTCCACTCTAACCCAGTTAAGTACTTGGTCTCAAGAATACTGGACACCCACCTGTCATACTGCAAGACCGGAACCGGACTGGCGCCATCCCACCAGTCACAGGTATGCTGCCAACATGTGGTATCACTACCACCAACTCAGGCGCTTGGTGGTCACTGACCTTCGCACGAGCTTTCAAGCATGGCTGCATGCCACCAAGCATGGTCGCTTGCATAAAGACATGATTGCACATACCCGTCAGCAGAAACGGGCCCGCTTCCAAGAGCAAATGACCCGCGCGGCGCAGGCTGATCGTGTCCATGATCAGCGTCGACTCCACCTGATTGTCCGTGAACTTAGTCCTAAGCAACCCGAGAGGCCTATCCGTTTTCGAGCAGTCACGGGGCTTGCCCAGAGCCCTGAGGTCGAACTGGACCTCCTTCGACAGCATTTCGAGAACGTCTACTGTGGGTCTACCCCTCAGCTGCCAAGTCCCTCTGTTCGTCTGTCACGCATGCCATTCACGGTTGAGGACCTCCGATATAATTTGGCACGAGTCTCCATGACCAAGGCCGTGGCCCCTGGCTCACTCCAGCCAGCTGTGGTCCGAGGCCTAGCAGATGATCTTGCCCAGATTTGTCATTCGATCCTCATCCGTATGTGGTGTCACCGTAAGGTCACGATTCCCCAACACTGGCAGGCGGCCTGGCTTACCCTCATTGCAATTGCAAAGAGGGCGGTGCACACACCGAAAGATGTCAGGCCCATTGCCCTGACGGACATCCTGGGGAAGTGCGTGCTTCAAACCTTGATCCAGAAGGTCCGGCCGCATGTCTTACCGAGTCTTTGTCAGGCCCCCCTGTTGGGATACTTACCCAGTCGATCAACCATCGATGCCCTGATTGCGGTCTTCCAACATTGCCGTCTTGTTCGCGCCAGGAGTCAGAGTGCCATGAAAAACTTATGGCAGCGGCGGGCGGGTGAGGCACCGCGTCGCATAGGTGGAGGACTATGCTTAAGTCTAGATCTCTCTGAAGCGTTCGACCGTATGCCAAGGGATAGGCTTGGGCCAGGTTTAGATCAAGTACATTGCCCCCCTGATCTCAAGGTCCCCCTCCTAGCATGGCTTCATGGAGCTGCGTACCACATAGACCACCGGGGCCAGACGTGCCACATCATTCCCACAAGGGGAACACGCCAGGGCTGTGTTGCTTCCCCACTCCAATGGAATGTGTGTTTGCTTGATATTCTGATGCAATTTTTAGTCCGCATTGACCAACCGCTGGAGTGGTTGAGGGCTCACCTGATCTCATATGCTGATGACCTTGTCCTAAAATGGGAGTTCGATTGCCTTGCAGACTTCCCACAAGCCTTGGCCGACATCGGTCACCTGCTAGATGTCCTAGAGTCGAATCAGCTGGTAGTCAATCTGCGCAAAACTGCAGTACTGCTCCGAATGTCCGGCTCGAAGGTGGCGGGGCTGTTTAAACGATGGACCAAAACCATCAAAGGCAGCAAGCATGTTGTGGTGCCCCGTCAACATGGGGATAGTCTCATTCCATGGGTCTCCAAACATACCTATCTTGGAACGCAGATAAGCTATGGCCCATTCGAGATGCAGACTTTAAAACATCGCATACATGTTGGCCGATTGACATACACCCGTCTTCGAGCATTTTTCCAACGCCGGCACGCATTTAGCCTTGGTAGCCGAGTCCGCCTGTGGACCAGCTGCGTGAGAGCCTCATATGTGTATGGCTTGTCGGCAAGTGGTCTGACCCCAAAAGGAGTTGAACTGCTTGAAACGGTGTGCACCATTGACTTCAGAAGAATCGCACGCTCTCCTTCACACATTACTAGAGAAACCACCGAGGCTCTTCGATCCAGACTGGGTGTTCCCAGCATTCGAGACTTCCTACGTACCACCTGGACACGACTCCGAGATGAGCGAGCAGGCCTACTCCTAGTCCTTCCGCCAACAGACTTTTTGCACACTCTACCATATGCCAAGCATTTTGAAGACCAGTTGGAGGCATTGGTCCCCAAGCTGCCAGTTGAAGTCGATGCACCACAGGCAGTCTGGAACTGTCCGCACTGTTCGACTTGCATGCCTTCCCATATGTCCCTGATGCAACACATCACACGTAATCATCCCACCCTCAAGCTACCTCCACAACCGTTCAAAGTCTTTCGAGATGCTGCAGGCGACATGCCGCAATGCCGACACTGCCATGGCCGGTTCCAGCTCTGGTCAGGCCTTGTCAAGCACATCTCACTTGGACGTTGCTTGAAATTTGATGCAACCCTGCAGGAACGACCGTGTCCGGCTGATGATGATGAACTTCGGCAAGCAGTCAGACAGCAGGACTGGCTGGGTGCAGTGGGAACTGCGAGGTTGCTGGAAATGATTCGCCATCGATGCATCCTATGTGCACAATGGCAGCCTAGTGGGAACGCCATCCATGAACACCTGAGCCGCATGCATCACAAGATCTGGCACGCCGCACAAGCTTTCTTGAGTCCAGTTGCCAGAGCGGTCACCACCAGCAGACCCTGCATTGGATGTGGAAACACCACCAACCGCCTCCACTCCTGTCCAGCGGCCAGCCAGTTGGCCATAGTGGCTTACCTGGAACATCACCACATGCGGGGCAGTGAAGTTGTTGATGAATTGGTCGCACCCCCTCGACCTCCACAGGGGAAGCTCTCCCAGTCTGCCCTCCGTGCGCAGGCTGGAGAGGCAGTCGAGGCCGCCACCTTTCAACCTGCCCGAGACTCAGCCAATGGCACTACCCAATGTGCACATTGCGGGAACACCTTCAACAACTTCTATGGCCTTCGTATGCATATAGAATCACTGGCCTGCAAGAGATTTGATGCTAACCGGGGAGCAGGGGACCATGTTCCCCAACAGTGGCCGTGGGTCCAGCAGCTATGTGCTCGTGGCCAGCCCTCCGACTAGCTCACGGACCCCCGATTGAAGGAAGCCCTGCAACAACAATGTGGCCTCTGTGGAAGAAGAATCCAGAACACCACCGGCATAGCAAAGCACTTATACCATGACCATGCAGACACCATGACAGCTGCTCAGGCCTGGATCCAGCATGCCTACAGCCAGGCTCCGCCAGATGCTCCACCATGCTACTGCCCGGTGCCGCGCTCGGCCAGATCGGGCCACAAATGCCCCATCATTTTGCAAGCCGGAGTACTAGGCCATCTTTTTCAACCACAACAACGGCCCCAGGTACCGGCAGACCTGTTGGCCATGATCACTGCTGCCAACTATGCCTCCATCTGGCGCCAGCCACACCTGCGCCCGAGCCTTGAAGCCCACTGTCTAGCCTGTCAGCACCTGCCAGTGGATGACCTGCCAACTCACTTGGCCACCACGCACCCCATTGATCATGTCCTCATTCAGTCGATGTATGATCAAGTTCAATGCCCAGATCTGGGGTGCTGTCGCTGGTGCATAGAGGCTCAAGACCTCCCGGAGAGGTGTCCGGTGGCCCTCAACCTGGCCCATTTCATCCGTGCCATACAACATGATGGACTACATGGAGGACACCGATTGGATGGAGCAGGTGCAGGATGCGGTGGGGGGCTTGCTGGCTCGACCGCCACTGAAGAGGGCCAAACCGGAGGAGGACGGCGAGGAACCGCCAGGAGGGCACCAGAAGGGAAAGGGCAGGGGCAAGGGAAAAGGCAAAAACAAGCCACAGGATGGCCACCAGCCCCAACACCAGCAACTGGCGGCCCTCCAACAGACCATGGGCCAGCTCATTTCCCTGACGTTGAGGCACGAATCACAATTGCAGGCGCTGGCCAGCACAGACCAATTTCTGCTCTTTTTGCCGGCAGGACCCGTGTCCCTGATGCCAAACATCCTCCAACAGACCCAGCAATGGAAAGAGCAGCAAACCAAGGGCACCAGCACGCAACCACTACGCGTGGTGCTGGGACAGATGGTGATACAGGAGATTCTCGACCGCTTCACGAAGCTCCAAGCCATGGGCCAACAGGATCCCTTGTGGCAGAAGGCCATCCACCAACTCATCATCACTCCCGAGGGCACGTGGCCATTCCTGCAATGGGATCCGACTCAGAAGAAGCTTCAAGTGTTGCCCAACAAGACCCCTATCAAGGGGGAGAAGATTCAGAAAGCACTGGAGGACCTTCTGGAGCACATGAAGAACCCCGCTCTCCTGCTGAGGTTCAAAAGTCTCCAACCACCACAGACATCCAAGAAGACAGTGATACCCTACCTCATTCAGGTCAGCATGCGCGACAACCACCTGTACGACACACTGTCGTGGCTGGGTCACAATTCAGTCTGGATGCTGGTGGAGGCCCGCCTTCGACAGCACATGGTCCGCCCGACACAGTTGGTGAGCCAGCTCCTCAAAGGACATGGGCGCGGTGGCCGTGCTATCTAGACCAGGGTCTAGCCACGTTGATGGGCTGGAAGCTCATCAACCAGCAAAATGCTTGCTGGCTCAATGCCACAATGGTCTCCTTCCTATGGGCCCAGCTCCAATGTCGCGATCTGCGTTGGCAAGATCTTGGAGTTGGCACGGCACTGTTTCAATCACTTTGCAGCCGGGCCAGCAACTCCCTTGACCTTCTCCGAGATCAGGCCACGCAGGCTCTGCTTCATGGCTGGCAGTGTGAAGGGCAACAGGAACTGCTCTCCTTCACCAGTCACTTTTTGGGATGGTGTCAACCACGCCTTGTGGACAACACCTGGGAACGCAAATTGGATGAAGAGGCACAGATCAAATGCCACGACCAAGGGGGAAAGCTTGGTCCAATCATTTTGACGCCGGCTGCCCAAGACAAAAAGATCCTGCCCTTGCAAGACTGTGTGGATGAGTGGCATACACAGTATGGCATGGTCACAGCCTTGCATCACGTTCAAACATGTGTGGTACTCTACATCGAAAAGTCTCAATTTTCGCCCTTAGGTGTTGCCGCCAAAGCTGAGTGGCGCTTGCAGCTGCCGCCCAATGGAGTCATTTGGCTCCCTCGCTTTCGTGAGGCAGGTGACTTGGCCATCGATCATGTGGCCTACCAGGTCTCCAGCATGATCGTGCACTCAGGCTCACATGAGGCTGGCCACTATCGTGCCTGCTGCCAGGGACACAATGGGTGGGTCTCCTTTCAGGACAACTGGGAAGCACGGCAAGATCATGCCCTCCACCTGGACCAGGGCCAGGACATCCTGCTGGTCTGGCTTGTCGATGCCCACAGGTACTTGACCTGTCCTCCAGCTGCCACGCCCTCGGCGCTCATGAAGGATGAACTCATCACCCATGCTGTCAGGTGCTATGCCAATGCCAACTATGGGATCTTCCAGGCGCGGGACTCCTTGCTGTCGAGGCTTCTGCGCACCACCTGTCCGGTGTGTGGGATCCCGGTGATGAGCGTCGACCTCCTTGAGGAGCATGCCACAGCCTACCACTGGGAGTTGTGGCAACTTGGCATGCAACATCTGAATGCCACATGGCCGCAATGGACTGAAGAAGTGCTGCCGTGTGTGTGGTGTGTTGGTTCCCTGAACCTTGAAAAGGGACCCGTTCAGCTCCAACCACATCGATGTCAGATGCTGGCGCCTCTCGGCCTCGCGATAGCATTCCATGCACGCGAACTGGAACCTATGGGCTCGATCTTTGATCTTCGGTTGCGGCCCAGTGAGCGCATCCAATGGGCACTGGCTGACAGCACGGCTCTGAGTGAAGCACTGCAGGAGGCGGCTGACCCGGCTTTGTATGCAGCTGCTGGCGAAAGCGCGGCCGCTTTTGGCGCTGAGCTGCGGCAGCGCGGAGTGAGAGCTAGGAATGATGAGCTCAGGGGTGACACAGATGAGACCGACACCCTTGGTCAGGGCCTTGCGGAGTTCTTAGCGCAGCTCGACTCTCGCTGGCCTGAGTAGGAAGGTTTTTTGGCTCCGGAACGCAGGAGCGGGCCCTAGCCAACGGCCGTCCAGAGGAGACGTGGCCCACGCGAGCGTCGACATGATGCTGCGACTGAAACGAAAAAAACCTTTTGTCCTGCTGTTGTCCTCTCGTTGTCCTCTTCTTGTCCTTCTGCTGATGCTGGTGTCTAGATGGAAACATGGCAGCTTGTAGACATGACGGCGTGCGCACGCGCGAGGCACGGTCCCCAAGTGCATTTCAAGGGTCCCCTGAAGAAAACACACACACGCAAGCCTTGCCACGAACCCTGTCCGGATGTCCTCCACTCGCTATCTTTTCGGTCCTGTCCTCCTCATGTTCTTCTATTGCCTCCTTGTTGTCCTTCTTCACTCCTCTCGTTCTCCTCTTGGCGTGCTCCCCTCATGTTGTCCTATTATCCTGGCCGTTGTCCGGTCACAGCTTGTCCTTCCTTTATCCTTTTGGTGTGTTCGTGGTGTTTTCCTTCCCTCTTCCTTTTGTCCTCTGTTGTCCTCCTCATGTCCTCCTTTGTCTTTCCTTTGTCCTGCTGCTGTTGTGCTCTTGACGCTGCTTTCCGAGGCTGGGCCTGGGGCTGCGGCCCACCACCACAACAATTCTTACGGACTAAGCTGTTTGGAGTCTACGCTGGTATAATTGTCCTTGCCTGCTGGCTTTCGGCAGGGGAGGGCCATAAGGAGCAACCTAGCAAAACAACAAAACATTAGAAAGAGCAGGCAACAATCCAAAACTAACATTTCAGCCTTAAGCAGGTGCTCGAGAATGCATCCTTTCTATTGGATTATATGGCTGAGGTTCACGTCGATTAGCGATGTCGTGAAGTGCTGAGACTTTCACGGCGGGAGCGAGCTGCAAACCTTACGGCCACTGCCTCGCACCTCTCTGTCAAGGTAAACGCACTGTTTCCGCTCCTAGCGTTTGCCGCTGGCCCAAGAGTGGAGTTGGCAGTGGCACATGTGGTAGCCACATTTTGCTGTGAGGAGAGTTTGAAGAAGCACTTCCTGCGCATAAAATGGGCGACTTGGCTTAGCATATTGATGCCGTGCTGAGTTGCTCTTGACACAGAACCTGGGACTGTTGTGGATTCTAGTTTCAGCCGGTGGAGTGAAGGCCAGAGAAAAGTCCAAACGGTGCGACATGAATTGCGGCTGTAATTGCCTAGGAAAGCATTCAAAGGGTTCCAGACCTGGAGGAGCCTTGGCAGTGAAGGGTTTTCTGGCAGTGCAAAGCAGCTTCTGACTTTTTGATTGTATCAGCTTAGGGCTGCTTCCGTTTTAAATTTCTGCATTTCTTAGACCTGGTGCTGTCATACGTGATTGATACGTGCACCATACTCCAGAACTTATGCTGTTCGAAAACAGCCAAGGTGCCAATGCTGTTCCTCACAGGTGAAAAGGCGAGCCACGAGAAGTCACAGTGAAAAAACAAGTGGTGCCAAGTCATGGTGCCCCCCTGCAGTCCCACGTGATGACGACGTTCTTATTTTTGAACATATATAGCCACGGACAAGTACTTAGAACCTATTTTAGAATAGACATGATTTTGATTATATATGCTGCTGCAAACATTTCAAGTGCACACTACTTAGAACCGCACAAATCAAGAACTTTGCAGCTTTGTATTTCCAGTGGTTCTAAGTGTCTTGAAGCTATTTCAGGCAATGCACATTATTGTTGTAAAATTTTGTGGCCGAACCCAAATATTGGAAATCATCATTGGGCTTCACAGTTACTGAAGCATGGGCATCAAGGACTATTATCGCTTACTGAAAGTGGCTATCATGAACTTTTGCCTTCATTTTGTGTGATGCTGCAAGCTGCAAGCCTATGTCGAAGCTACCTGTGATGTCAAAGTATCAATGTACATGAAAGCTTTAACACCGGACTTCAAACTTAGGGTAGCTAGCCACATGTGTCTGACGATCATCGCTATCATTACCTTTTGCTCTAATCTTGGAGGACAGGGTTCTGAGTGTGATGCTGCACAAAGGTTCAGACTCTAGCTGCTATGGCATAGCTGGTATGATGTCAAAATATCTATATACACGGCAAGCGTTCTTAGGTTTGCTCAGGATATATGGCTGATGCTTTCATGTTGAAGCAGGTTAAAAATATGATGATGCCCCAAGGCCAGATTGAATTTCAAGAATCACAACATCTATATATCAACATTTTTCACAGTTCAAAACCTGGCACCTGGCAGGGTCCGGTCCAAGTGTGCATTTCCGAAAGGTACTATGTGTACATTCATCACAGGTTCTATGTGTTTACATATTACGAAAGCCAGCCTTCGTAGAAGGCGCCAGCTGAGTTGTGCTTGGCGAACGAAGTGAGTAGTTAGGGGGTCTGGGGGGGGTGGCCCGCAAAAGGTACACGTAAACTCGGCACATGCTGGGGGGTATAGATCTATACCCAGGGTAGCTATAGTGCGGTTACCAGGTATAGTACTTCAAGTTCCCTTTCCATCAACCGCTTGATAACCTTTACACACGCACAGCAATCCGCAGCTTTGAAGTCTCATGCGCGCGATACCTGGGAACAGACTTGTAGCTACCCTGGGTCCGTATAAATGCTATGTTGCTATACCTCTT